AGAAAATGAATCTATTTCTAGTATGCTTTTAAGACTGATGAGAACAATTTGACACCTTTCTATTGTAATTATATTATACAGAAAACAATCTATGTTTGTTTCAACCAGCTAATTCTAGATTGATTTAGAAATACTACTGTAAGCAAAAACTAATAACTATTTGAATTTGTGCCATAGAAAACAAGACAGCTTTTCAAAACAATTTCAATGTCCTTTTTTCAAACTTAACAGAATCACCTTTACAGGAAAATGCTCCATCTATCTCTTTTTCAAATAAAACAGCTTTACTTAAACCCCACCATGCTCAAATTTAAGTCACCATTTTTTTTAGTTCAAACTTAACTATGAAACAGGAACAATTTAAAAAACACATCATAATCCAGGTTACCATAATAGTAATCAAGATGCATAAAATCTTTTGATTCAAGTGTTTGACTACTACTTCTAATCTGCATATTGACCCCTAAAGAGGTTCTAAAAATTGCATCAATGATTTTGGAATTCATTATTACAGAAGTCTGGTGAAAGATGTTTAACCTATATGTCTATAAGGGATGGTCATTATATAAAGTTCTAAATTGGAATACCTCAGAATCAGCCCCGTCAGATTTGATGAAAATCAATAAAATTTCCAATTATTTCTATTCATAGTAATATGGTTATCTGTGCAGCTGGTGGCATCCAAGAAATTCTAGAGACACATTTTGCAGAATGACCCCATGATAAACTGATTTGTTCCATAGTCTTCTTATACCACCACCGATAAATATTATTTCATTAGTCAGATATTCCAAAGTACACGATCACTGTCATGTATTTACTTTTTTTATTGGATACAAATCTGACAAAGTCTAATGCAGATTTTTGAACGCAAAACGCTGCAACTGAAGAACCACATAGAGGCATCAAAGTGCATCATTATGGAGTAAAGGGGAGGCTTCAAAAAGGCATCATTATGGTGTAAAAAGGAGGCATCAAAGCCTCATTTTGGAGAAAAGTGGGAGGCCTCAAAACGGCATCATTATGGAGGAAAGGGGGAGGCGTTAAAAGACGATTAATGGAGAAAAGGGTTAAATTATTGTACAATTAACATGTATTTACACAATCAGCAAATTAAAAAAAATACATATATCTGTTATGGTATTAATATTGTTGAACAGTTTGACACACAAAAATTATGTAGATAATCAGTACTTACAAAACTAGGTATATTTGTTATAGCACAATAAGATTTAAAATTGAAAGCGTGATGGGAAATTTTCTTCATTTTTTAATCATGTGAAACTTGGCAAAAAATAGGCTGGAATTCCTTTTTCCTGTTTTCCAAGAGACATTCCCCTTTTTAAATATTCACCTTCATGAAAGGACCATTTTAGTACATAGATAAGAGTGCACATGCTAAAATGTCTTGCCTGCTTTACTGACCATTCATTTTATGATGAAAGTCTTAAAGATAAAGGTTTCACTAAAAGTATCACATAAACTAAACATTTTTAAAGATCTATGAGAATGAGGTCAAGGTCAGATAAATCATGTCATACAGACATAGAAACCTTACAATTTTTTAAACACCAAATATAGTTGACCTATTGCTTATGGTAATTGAAAAACAGACCAAAACACAAACAAGAGTGCACACGCTGAAATGTCTCGCCTTCTTTACTAACCATTGATTTTATGTTGATAGTTCTAAATACAACACTTTACTACAAGTAACACATAAACTTAACATGATCCAAGAAAATGAGGTCAAGGTCAGATAAACCAAACACAAAATACATGTACACCTTACAATCATTCAATAAACCAAACATAGTTGACCTATTGCTTATTGTTTCTAAGAAACAGTCTTAAACAAGAAAACTTAACATTGACCAATGAACCATGAAAATGAGGTCAAGGTCAGATGAACCATGCCAGACAGACATGTACACCTTACAATCATTCCATATACCAAATATAGTAGACCTACTGCTTATAGTATCTGATATATGGACTTGACCACGAAAACTTAACCTTGTTCACTGATCCATGAAATGAGGTCGAGGTCAAATGAAAATTGTCTGACGGGCATGAGGACCTTGCAAGGTACGCACATACTAAATATAGTTATCCTATTACTCATAATAAGAAAGAAATTAACATTACAAAAAATGTTGACTTTTTTTTCAAGTAGTCACTGAACCATGAAAATGAGGTCAAGGACAATGGACATATGACAGACGGACACTTCGTAACATAAGGCATCTATACACAAAGTATGAAGCATCCAGGTCTTCTAGCTTCTAAAATATAAAGCTTTTAAGAAGTTAGCTAACGCCGCTGCCGCCACCGCCGCTGCCGCTGGATCACTATCCCTATGTCGAGCTTTCTGCGACAAAAGTTGCAGGCTCGACAAAAACTACGTTACTTTAACCTTGATCATTAATTCATGAAAATGAGGTCAAGGACAATGGACATATGACAGACAAAAACTTCGTAAGATCAGGTATCTGCATACAAGATATGAAGCATCCATGTTGTCTACCTTCTGAAATATAAAGCTTCATACAAATAGTTTATGCTGCCGCCAGATAGTAATACCTTAGTCGTTGCAAGCGAGACAAAAATCAGATTCTACAGGTAAATGCATATGTATATATCTATTATGGTACAGCCATTATTGTACATACATTTACATGTTGATAATTAGTACTTACAGAACTAGGGATATCTGTCATGGAGTGTACAGTTTAACATACATGTACATGTACTTACAGAACTAGGATTATCTGTCATGGTATTAACATTATTGTACAGTTTAACATACATGTACATGTACTTACAGAACTAGGAATATCTGTCATGGTATTAACATTATTGTACAGTTTAACATACATGTACATGTACTTACAAAACTAGGAATATCTGTCATGGTATTAACATTATTGTACAGTTTAACATACATGTACATGTACTTACAGAACTAGGAATATCTGTCATGGTATTAACATCATTGTACAGTTTAACATACATGTACATGTACTTACAGAACTAGGAATATCTGTCATGGTATTAACATTATTGTACAGTTTAACATACATGTACATGTACTTACAGAACTAGGAATATCTGTCATGGTATTAACATTATTGTACAGTTTAACATACATGTACATGTACTTACAGAACTAGGAATATCTGTCATGGTATTAACATTATTGTACAGTTTAACATACATGTACATGTACTTACAGAACTAGGGATATCTGTCATGGTATTAACATTATTGTACAGTTTAACATACATGTACATGTACTTACAGAACTAGGGATATCTGTCATGGTATTAACATTATTGTACAGTTTAACATACATGTACATGTACTTACAGAACTAGGAATATCTGTCATGGTATTAACATTATTGTACAGTTTAACATACATGTACATGTACTTACAGAACTAGGAATATCTGTCATGGTATTAACATTATTGTACTGTTAACATACATGTACATGTACTTACAGAACTAGGAATATCTGTCATGGTATTAACATTATTGTACAGTTTAACATACATGTACATGTACTTACAGAACTAGGAATATCTGTCATGGTATTAACATTATTGTACAGTTTAACATACATGTACATGTACTTACAAAACTAGGAATATCTGTCATGGTATTAACATTATTGTACAGTTTAACATACATGTACATGTACTTACAAAACTAGGAATATCTGTCATGGTATTAACATTATTGTACAGTTTAACATACATGTACATGTACTTACAAAACTAGGAATATCTGTCATGGTATTAACATTATTGTACAGTTTAACATACATGTACATGTACTTACAGAACTAGGGATATCTGTCATGGTATTAACATTATTGTACAGTTTAACATACATGTACATGTACTTACAGAACTAGGGATATCTGTCATGGTATTAACATTATTGTACAGTTTAACATACATGTACATGTACTTACAGAACTAGGAATATCTGTCATGGTATTAACATTATTGTACAGTTTAACATACATGTACATGTACTTACAAAACTAGGAATATCTGTCATGGTATTAACATTATTGTACAGTTTAACATACATGTACATGTACTTACAAAACTAGGAATATCTGTCATGGTATTAACATCATTGTACAGTTTAACATACATGTACATGTACTTACAGAACTAGGAATATCTGTCATGGTATTAACATTATTGTACAGTTTAACATACATGTACATGTACTTACAGAACTAGGAATATCTGTCATGGTATTAACATTATTGTACAGTTTAACATACATGTACATGTACTTACAAAACTAGGAATATCTGTCATGGTATTAACATTATTGTACAGTTTAACATACATGTACATGTACTTACAAAACTAGGAATATCTGTCATGGTATTAACATTATTGTACAGTTTAACATACATGTACATGTACTTACAGAACTAGGAATATCTGTCATGGTATTAACATTATTGTACAGTTTAACATACATGTACATGTACTTACAGAACTAGGAATATCTGTCATGGTATTAACATTATTGTACAGTTTAACATACATGTACATGTACTTACAGAACTAGGAATATCTGTCATGGTATTAACATTATTGTACAGTTTAACATACATGTACATGTACTTACAGAACTAGGAATATCTGTCATGGTATTAACATTATTGTACAGTTTAACATACATGTACATGTACTTACAGAACTAGGAATATCTGTCATGGTATTAACATTATTGTACAGTTTAACATACATGTACATGTACTTACAAAACTAGGAATATCTGTCATGGTATTAACATTATTGTACAGTTTAACATACATGTACATGTACTTACAAAACTAGGAATATCTGTCATGGTATTAACATTATTGTACAGTTTAACATACATGTACATGTACTTACAGAACTAGGAATATCTGTCATGGTATTAACATTATTGTACAGTTTAACATACATGTACATGTACTTACAGAACTAGGAATATCTGTCATGGTATTAACATTATTGTACAGTTTCATTTCCTATACTACCAGTAACATTTGTATTGTCTTTTGACCTGTGTAATAAAATATAAAATTGTTCTTTTATAACATCAGCACTAGCACTACAAATCTTCTGATTAATAGATGGATGAATGGATGGTTGGTGGTTAAATGTCAAGTGGCAAATTAAAAGCATATTCAAGGACTAGAACATGTTGATGTGATACGAATATGGACCCTGCTTTGCAGTAGACTGACATTCTGAGTCAGATTTAAATGTGCAAGTTCACAAGGTCTGCAGGAAGACATGTCAACCTTCCAGGACAAACTATTCTGACTCTTGTCCCACCAGTCTTTGCCCTTACTCCTAAAAACCTGATTATTAGATTTGAAAGGTCTAGTGCCTTTAACATACAATGTATTCTAACACATGTAGATAGTCAGTATTAAAGGTTTTGTAGCCATCTATTTAAAACAACTGTCCCCTCAAACTTTGCAACTTTTTTTTATCACAGATAGATTCATAAACAGTGGTCTCAATTAATATTTGGAGAAAAACAAAGTTGTGCGTCTTGTAAACTCAACATAATGGTTTTATCATTTGTAAAAGGATTTCAAATTTCACTAGATTTGCTTTGGAGATTTAACAATCAGATCTACAAAATTATCACATGATTACAGTATGTTTCTTTTATATTTGAGGAATTACTTTAGCTCATTTCTTATTAAGTATATTAAGCATCAAGATTCTTACCAACATAAATAAGTTATATCAATCAGAAACTACACTACAATGTTTTTAAAAACATACCTGACTAAATATCTATGGCTGTTTCAAGTATCTACAAGACAGAATTCTTAGTCTCAACATTCAGAATACTTTTTGTATAATCGTTGAACAATATCTTCACCTGTAAAAAATAGAATTTGCTCATTCTTAATCCATCTGAATTTTGTAAAATGTATAATAATCACTCTCCGAAATTGAAGTGAGGTGACAATATCAACACCGCCCTGATATAATACAAGAAGTTAACTTACCACTGCTGTTTCAGCATTGTATATATTGAACATGATGCAATCAATTTTTAGTGACTTTTTACAAAACTTCACCACACCTACCCATTAATACATGAAGATCACTCATTAAAACAATTTGTTTACTTTATGCCATACCAGCATACATTTTGTAACAAGGAAATTATGATAGATTATGCATTCATCTGTCAACATAAAAATGCAAAATAAATATTATTTTTATATCATACAACTAGTTCAGCTCTGACCGATTTAAGTAAAAAATATCAGACTTGTTTATATGTAATCTAGAAATATGTAACCTTTTCAACCATGGAAACAGTGTTTATAACAATTGTTAAATATCAAATGATAACACACATTTCAAATAGAAAGTAATGCCTAAAATAGAAAAGACATCAGCCTAACTACAAGTAGATAAATAAACCAGATAATATATTCCCACAGCAAATGCATTGAAATGACATATAAAACACTGATTTTTTCAAATAACAATAATGTATTTTTGCTGTTCTAGGATAAGACTTTTCATTTATTCAATATAAGTGGGTAATCACAAATAATGTCAGGTTAAAATTTGCTAGAGGACTGTAATACAAATGTGTTTATCAAATAACTAATATATTGGTCAAAGTACTTGCATCAATACTAGGAACCCAATACCTATACAGCTAATTACAGTGGAAGCTTTATTAATACAAAAAATAAGAGATGTGGTATGATTGCAAATGAGACAGCTATCCTCCAAAGACCAAATAACTACAGGAAAAATGTGTGTAGAGAATAGAGTTGTAAATCAGGGACACAACTATTAGATTATAGAGGGTATTGTGAGCTTTTGAATTTGTTGCTTTATACAAGAGACTTACCACTGAGTAATTGTGGTGCAATAGTTGAAATAATGGTCAAAGTCCCATTTATTCTGTAAAAAAGGTTGAATCAAAATGATGGTACAATATGGTCAACTACACATGATGGCAAATATTCATACCAAGTATGAAAGCTTTCTGTCAAACAGTCTCGGAGGAGTAAAGTTCACACAGTGACACTGTGGTAGGATAGTCCAAAGTCAATTACTCCCGCATAAAAATAGTCAAATCAAAATGACAGTACAATATGGTCAACTACACACCATGGCAAACAATCATCACCACATATGAGAGCTTTCTGTAAAACAGTCAAAGAGGAGTTGCCTTCACAAGGCGTCATTTTGTTACAATAGTCAAGAGTTCAAAAATGGTCAAAGTCCCATAACTCTTGTTTATATACAGTGTATATATAGGGAGCTGCCCACCTGAATGTCCTCCTGCCGTACACGTAACAACCCCAAATCAATAACAAAACTTCTGTCTGAAAACCTGGTTAATAAAATTATTGTGATTTACCCTATTGCACCTCTTGTTTTATAGGGACATGGTTAGAATTCTCACTTCCAATTGAACCGTTCTTTGAAAGCAAGCATTTTTGTATTAAAATATACACTTAATAAGATGGAAAATAGTGTGTATGCAGACAGGACCATAAAATAATCCCTGCAAAAACTGTGTAATCATTTGAAATATCAATGCTTTTATAAGCAAATGCTATATAGCTACCGGTACTCTGAAATAGCAAAATTAGAGATTATGCAACACAAGCAAAACTAATCATTATTTTTTTTCACAGAACAAAACCCAATCAGTGATCTAAATTTAAACAAATGGCCATCATGCACGGGTCCATAATTAGTATTGACCAGAAAAACCAAACTACTCTTGACTAAAGTGCAAATGCACTTTTATTTATAAAAATCTTGTATGTGTGAGCAAAAGATCAGAATATCACTCAATGCAAAGTTCATGCTATTATTAATAAAATAACTTGTAATACCTCAATGGGCTCTAAAATACAAATATGTCACAGTTTGAAAAAATAAATTTAGAAATGAGATTTTGTTAAAGGACCTTTTAAAATTTCTCATCTAATGTTGCTTTCTATAATGAAAGTTTTTACCTTCTTACTCTAAGTGGTATTTACTATAATAAGTGAAATATCAACTGATGTATGTAGATGTGCATGCACATAAACAATCCTTAGATAGCAATTCAATCAACTGAAGCTCATTTAAATATGTTTCAAGTTTATGAACTTGACAAATGTATATAAAAACTTCCACTTTCCAGATAAATAAATCTACAAAATGAATTCCTTCTGAACCCCCTTTATCGAAACAATAAGCATAGATATATATATGAAAGGGTTTCAGTCTTGTCAACATTGTTCTAGTGCAAAATTCAGTAATCAGATGGGAGTTTAGCAATCTTTCAATCCCTCATAGGCCCACATATTAATAAAATGCTCCGCAGGGCGCAGCTTGATACGACCGCAGAGGTCGAACCCTGAACAGTTGGGGCAAGTATGGACACAACATTCAAGCTTGATACAGCTTTGCATTTGGATTGTGATTAAATATTTGACACAGCATAGGTTTCTGACACAGAATGAATGTGGTCTAAGAACTTAAAAAATTTTAAATTGGACAATCACCTATTATGGTCCAATATCCAAAATCTAAATACATGGTTAGATTCAGCATATCAAAGAACCCCAAGAATTCAATTTTTGATGAAATCAAACAAAGTTTAATTTTGGACCCTTTTGACCTCAATGTGGACAAAGTTGATAACGGGGCCCAAAAATCAAAAATCTAAATACATGGTTAGATTCAGCATATCAAAGAACCCCATATATTCAATTTTTGTTGAAATCAAACAAAGTTTAATTTTGGACCCCAATTTGGACCAACTTGAAAACTGGGCCCATAATCAAAAATCTAAATACATGTTTAGATTCAGCATATCAAAGAACCCTAAGAATTCAATTTTTGTTAAAATCAAACTAAGTTTAATGGGACACTTTGGACCATAATGTAGACCAATTTGAAAACGGAACCAAAAATTAAGAATCTAAATACACGGTTAGATTCGGCATATCAAAGAACCCCAATAATTCAATTTTTGATGAAATCAAACAAAGTTTAATTTTGGACCCTTTGGACCTCAAAGTGGACCAATTTAAAAACGGGGCCCAAAATCCAAAAACTAAATACACGGTTAGATTCAGCATATTAAAGAACCCCAAGAATTCAAGAATAAAACCCCATTGAAATTGGTCAAGAAATAAGCAATTTATACGAAGTATCTTCTTTTGCACAATACTGTGCAATTAAATATTTCTTGCTATTGCGCAATACTGTACAATTGACAATTTCTTGCTATTGCGCAATATTGTGCTATTGGATATTTCTTGCTATTGCGCAATACTGTGCAATTGAAGATTTCTTGCTATTGTGCAATACTGTGCAATTGAAAATTTCTTGCTATTGCACAATACTTATTATATAATAATTTACACATCCTGTTTGGTGTGTATCTCCTACCATATCATTATTATTTGCTTTTAAATATAAATCAGAAATAACCAACTTAAAATGGAAAATTTTAAAAGAAAAAAAAATGGAAAAAAAGAAAAAAAAAGGAAAAAAAAAAAAATCCCCCCCCCCAAATTTTTTGAACCCCCTTATGATTCATCACCCCCAAACTCAATCACAGCCTTCCCTTTGTGGTATGGTACCTTGCAGTACAATTTCAGAGAGATCCATACACTTGAACACAAGTTATTGTCTGGAAACTAGAAAAATGTGTTTTTTGGCCCCTTTTTGGCCCCAAATTCCTAAACGTTTAGGGCAATTACCCCCAAACTCAAACCCAGCTTTCCCTTTGTGATATGGAACCTTGTAGAACAATTTCAGAAAGATCCATACACTTACACACAAGTTATTGTCCTGAAACTAGAAAAATGCTTGTTTTTTGCCCCTTTTTGGCCCCTAATTCCTAAAATATTAAGGCAATTACCCCCAAACTCAATCCCAGCCTTTCCTTTGTGGTATGGTACCTTGCTGTACAATTTCAGAGAGATCCATACACTTGAACACAAGTTATTGTCTGGAAACTAGAAAAATGCTTATTTTTGGCCCCTTTTTGGCCCCCAATTCCTAAACGTTTCAGCAATTACCCCCAAACTCAATTCCAGCTTTCCCTTTGTGATATGGAACCTTGTAGTACAATTTCAGAAAGATCCATACACTTACACACAAGTTATTGTCATGAAACTAGAAAAATGCTTATTTTTTGCCCCTTTTTTTGCCCCTAATTCCTAAAATTTTGAGGCAATTACCCCCAAAATCAATCCCAGCATTCCTTTTGAGATATGGAACCTTGTGGTACAATGTCAGAGAGATCCATACACTAACACACAAGTTATGTCTGGAAGTTACAAAATTGTTATTTTTGGCCCCTAATTCCTTTACTGTTAGTACCATAACCCCCAAAATCAATCCCAACCTTCCTTTTGTGGTTTTGAACCTTGTGGTAAAATTTTATAGAGATCCATTCACTTAAACTAAAGTTAGAGTGCGAAAACCAATGTGTCTTCGGACGACGACGACGCCAACGTCATACCAATATACGACCACAAAAATTTTTTTGCGGTTGTATAAAAAGTTAATAAAAATAAAAACTATCAGTTTCCTGAGTTTTGTTGCATTTCAACAAATTGTCCTAATGTTGGATGGTCTATCTTGTAATTCATTTTGCTCTCTTATTCAGGACATTGTTAAATATTTAGTGGAGATCAATTTCATGGATGCATAATACTATTGTACTGTATTTAAATTATTTTGAGCTGCATTTTGCAGGCCAATGTAGAGGAAGATGAGGGTTTGCGAAATCACAAAATAAATATGGTAGTTTTTGAGAAAACTGTGGCTCAAATAGAAACTTTGTTATTTTTCTAAATCCTTTAGTTTATAAAGCTCACAAAGTAGATAGTTATT